GTGATAATATTATTCCTTCTGATAAAGCATATAATTGTATTCTCTAAACAAATTTAGGAGGTTAAATTTTAAAGGAAAGCATGGCAGTGTAAAACACAAAGCCCATGTCTGGTGAACAATCAATCACATTGAGATGTTTTGGACAGTAAGGACTATTTTATATTATGCTTTGAAATTAGGAATTTGGCACTAAGTTTTGTCACTCATTTAACACCTTGCTGAGGAATGCACTTACCCCAGAGGCAAAAAGTGCTGACCCCTACTGGCTGGACTTTCATTTACCTGAGAATGGGCAGGGACACACCCACTACACACTCTGAAAGCCACCTTCAAAACTAAGTCATAAGCTGGGAGAGAGCCACACAGAAGAGGTAGAGAGGGGGACTAAGGAGGAGGAAGAATAGAGAGCAGCGTAGGTGTGATGACGGAAGAGCTGGGAAGAAACGAGACCTGTCACAGATAATTCTCTGCACTACAGCCTACTGTGTGTCTCAAACATGTTTGTCTCGTGGTGTTTGTTAACTGGACCTAAATTAGTTCCTACTTGGGGAAATGTTCTTTCACAAATACAGTGCCAGGGACTGTCAAAAAGTAAAAAAAGAACATCAATTAGGACAATTTATTTTCCTGTCACGGTAGTTTAAAATAATTATCTCAGCAAATTTAAGGATTAGTTAAAATTTAAAATATTTTAACATTTTTATGCAATGCAACAAATACACTAAGGCACTGGGATATATCTTTTGCACCATGAATTATTATCTGATACGAATAAACTGATTTTAGGGTTTAATCAGGAAATATGTTAATAACTATCCTAACACTGGAAAGGCTATGCCTACCTAAGTAATCACAATATTAATTAGACAATGATAAACAAGAAAATTCATAGAGCTAACATAGAGGATTCTTAATCAACCTGGGCCAAAGCAGACCATGTGAAAAACTTCTAGAAACCATCAGGATCTTGCCAAATATTTGAGAGAGACAGAATTAAAAATCATTTTCATTTGCCCTTTAAGATAATGCTGTCTGTTCCCAGAAATATCTCCATAGCCTTTTGGCTGAAAAGTGTCTTACGTGAAAGAGGTTAAATTCCTGTGACAGCTCTTTGCCCTTGCCAGTACAGTGAATACCTTCTGACTCATTTAAGCAAAAATGCCAGCAAAACTCAAGTCTTCATATCGCCATCAAGGAATGCATATGTGCTTTCCCCACATGTAATAGACCTAGCAGTGTACACAGCACCCCAGTGGATTCAGGGGTATGTGGTGGTGGGCATTCTTCTGTAAAACAGGGATAAGGCAGAATTATGTGGGAAACCTTTAGTAAGTAAAAGCACTTATTGTTACAGTGTTCACATAAATTGTGTGTAAGTCACGATTTCACTATATGAATAGAACTATTAAAATTAGAAAATATAAACGGAACTAAATGCTTAGAATATATCTTCTCTCTCTCTCTCTCTCTCTCTCTCTCTCTCTCTCTCTCTCTCTTTCTCTCTCTCTCTCTCTCTCTCTATTGCTAGTGCCCTGGACTCTAAGCAAAATATGTGTGCCACCACTGCTGCAGTTGAATACTTGCCTATTTCCAGTCACACTAAGTAGTACCTATGTGCCTGCCCATCATCAGTCCTATTGAAATTTTCCATTGACCTGGGCTCCTTTTGCCTCTGTGCCTGACATAATGAATTGGCTACATTAGCTTAGTGTTACTTACAAATCAGTCAACTTTTGACCATTCAAGGCTCATTACTAATTTGCATGTATGCCATTCTTTTAGCTTCCCTCCATCTTTTTACCCGTTTTTTAAGTGTTCTCATCACATATTGGGACAAAGAAAGGGTGACGGAGTAAAAACAAATTGGAGTTCCTTTATTTTTTAACACTATTAGGGAAAAGATGTAGATTGCTTTAATTATCTAAAATATCTTGATTTAGTTTATTATCGAGTTTAAAGAAAATGCAAAATTCACAAACCCATGAAATTTAAGAAATTTTTATGGATTTCTCTGATTAAATTATTGTTTGCATTGTCATAAATGGTTAAAAGATGACTGCATTTCTTTTTTATGTAAAATTTTAACCAAATTATGTAAGAAGGCATTTAACTTTTTGAGCCATTTATACTATTCTCTACATTTAAATTAATGAAATTTCCCCATAAACTTTTCAGTGATCATCAAAATAAACCACTAATGACAATCAATACATGAAGCCACATTTATAATTCAAGAATATATGTGAATTTCTCTAGCCTTTTATTACACATCTAGGAGAGATATCCCATTGATACTTTAGTGTGCTAGCTGGGCCTTTATTTACTATTATTAATACTTCTAAACAGAATAAAGGTCACTTAGCCTTCAAATTTGAAGCAGAAAAAAAAGGTTATTGAATAATCAATTAGATTAAAAGCAACTGCATATTCCAAGTAGGCCTATAAAATACCTGTGGTATTAATTTTTTAATGTTGACCCAAAGAAAAGGGATAAAATTCCTTCATTGAGTTTGGTGTTTGTTTTTTTATATAGATTATTTAAAAAACATGACATTTAGAATCTTTATGTTCACATGGGTAACAGAGCTATTTTTAGGCCTATATGTCACTTAATCAACATTTTGTCTGGAATTGCCAAAATCACAAGTATTTCCCTTAAATATGAGGTCCTTTTCAAATGGCTCTATGGCAACATTGAAGCATTTGAGGCTTTTCTTAGGTCTTTGCAATCATATTCTAGTTTTAACATCAAATGGATGATATGCTGCTTATGCTTTCATTGTGAAAATATATTAAAAGTATTTAAACAGATAAATTAAGATTAAAATTCTTGGGTAAGATATTTCACCAATAATACAGATGTCTGTGGGATATATATATATATACGCCCCCCCCTCCCCCCCCGCCTTTTAGGAAAGAACATTTAAACGTAGCATTCCATTAAAACTCTCAATCCTTGCTGTTGTGAGCTATATGAATAGAATTTTATCTCCGCTCTCCTCATTCCTTTCTGACAAACAGAATGAGATAATTATGAAAATGTGTTGAAAATGAAAGCATCCCACCTGTTGGGGAGAAGAGGCTTAGGTAATATTTAAGTAAAGATCCCGTTTCAGATCTTATGACACCCTGGCGAAAGAAAACTCCTCCAAATGAGCAGGTAGAAAGTTGTCATTTAGTGAATGTTAGCGGCTGAGCTAATTGGCAGAGTTTGGCCAAGACGACTGTATTTGAAAGAGAAAGTGCGGCCTTTGGTTGGTCAGGGGGTGACAGAGCTCCTGCAGTAGGCCCTGTTCTTCTGGGGAGGAAATTGATTTCCTGTAATCAAATGCTGTGGATTACAGTCTTGCTCTCCTCCGCCTTGGCCACAGAATCCATGCCAAGGCTTGGTCAACGACATTACCTGGTCCTTTGTAAAAGAAGCAGTGACATACTCAACAAAGAAATGTTTCGCCTGCTACATTTTGTCTCTCAGAACACAGCCGATTGCTGCTTTGAGACTGAAAGCTATGACTTTGTAAGTGACTATATTTGCAAGGCTTTGTTCAGAGAAGGAAAGGAAAATGACTGCAAGAAATTCACATGCGGACAGAAGAAATCTTGGTGACGTCTGAAAACGAAATTATAAAGCAGTCTAGAGTTACAGTTGGTGAATCAATCCCAGGAATAGGAACTTTTGTAGAAATATTTTAAAAAAATAATTACTATGTAATGTTGAACAGTAGTGATATAAAAGTCCAATCTCAGTCTTCTTCAATTATTCCTTTCTGGTATGTGTATACATCCACATGCATACATATTTGCTATATATGCAATCTGGTGATGATTTAAATTCATTCTGCATAACTTACAAAGTTTTAAAAAGTTAACCCATTACATCTGTAAAGTAATGATTTTTTAAGACAAGGGAGAGGGTGAAGATTCAGAAAAAGAAAATTCATACAGAAAAATGACTAGCGTCAGAGAGAAGTAGGATGAAATCATCTCTCTCTATAATTCCTACTCTTTTAAATTCTTTCAACGAATTTTTAAGTGTATTATGTACAAGAAAAGAGTCACCTTCGCCTCCCTGATCTGTAAGCCAAATCGCAGTATGTTTTCTCCCCATCTAAAGTCAACTTCAGGGCTTGATGAGGCCTTGGGAAGACAGTGGCACCCCAGAACCCATTTCCTGACCAAAGGAAGAGCTTTGTTACTCATTATACTTTGGGAAGATTAAAAAGGGTTTTGCCAGTTGAATAAAACAGGGCTAGCCAGTCCTTTATTTATTGTCATCTATTAGGTACCAAGTTTTGACTCAAAACCAATATAGATGGTCTATAAAACTGAGGAAAAATCATTTGTTTTAACCCCCCAAATTTGGTTTTGGTGATCATTCAACTGCAACCAATGGATTAATTCCCACCCATCCATACAAATAAACCTCCAACAGAAAAATGAATTAATTTTGTTTTAGTTTGTAAAGTTGTGACTAAAATCATACTTTTACAAGCAGATATTTAGATTATTCAAAATGTCTGAGTTATTTTATTGTTCAATACTATAGTGAATACTGTAGGAGGCAATATGATTGCATAAATAGTCCTAAATTTAGCTAGCCTGATTCAGAGTCTCTAAGGGTTCTATATTACCATCAATTGGATTCTGAAATTGATACCCTCTAATATTTCAAGGTAGTGTCATTATGATTTTATTTTCCATGCTGGGTTTATGGTTTTTCACCTAACATGGCCCTTTGGGGCTGCACTTACAAGACCTTGTTAACAAAATTGATCTGTGAGAAAGAAAAGATGGCAACAAATCTCTCACCAAGTGCTTTGATTCATTGTCACCAGTTTTTAGTGACCCTGAGGCTCAGGGAGTCCACACTTCACAGCAGCCTACTGTTTCTAAAGCAGTAGGTGCTTTTCCATTAGTCATGGAAATAGAAGGTAACTGTTAGCATTCAAGGAACTCGATAATCACTCTGTGTGTGTTTTTTTCTCCCCTCTTTCCTATAGCCAACCCAACCCGGGCAGGGGGCAGAGAGCCATACCCAGGCTCCGCAGAAGTGATCCGGGAGTCCAGCAGCACCACGGGCATGGTGGTAGGCATAGTAGCCGCTGCCGCCCTGTGCATCCTCATCCTCCTCTATGCCATGTACAAGTACAGAAACCGGGATGAAGGCTCATACCACGTGGACGAGAGTCGAAACTACATCAGTAACTCAGCACAGTCCAATGGGGCTGTTGTAAAGGAGAAACAACCCAGCAGTGCGAAGAGCGCCAACAAAAATAAGAAGAACAAGGATAAAGAGTATTACGTCTGATTCCAAGAGCGTAAAAGGACCCTTGTATAGAAATAGTCTTCATTTTATCTGAGACATAATATGAACTTATTTACTTTCCTTTTTATGAAGCACATACAAAAGAAGACAGGGAATGCAATCAGGAAGGAAAGACTGTTTTTAAAAAATAAAAATAAAAAACAAGTATCCCATGCTCTTGTTTCTCCAAAAAAAGAAAAATTAATAAAAAATTAAAAAACAGGGGCCAATAAATTCCCTAACATCCACAGTGTTTTCATTTACTCTGCCTGTCTTTATGTTGCTGGAACATTTCTAAAAGACAGTGATGACCGCACGCATTCATAAAGCAAAGGAGTATTACAACATCGAGGCACAACACAAAACACAACACACACAAAAGAAGCTACCTATGATCCTGGATTTAGCCAAAGTGCTAGCGCTTTCCCGAGAAGTCAGATAGTCCTATTGCCAGAGAAGACTGTGGCATTTTGAGTGACTCGACCTGCAAATCCTTAAGAATTTGCTGCCTGGCGCAAATGGAGCAGTGGTTGGAATTTACATTTGAAGCAAAGTGCTGGCTTTTTTGAAGACTTGTGTAGGAACACATTCAAAAAGCCCCTTTATGATTGTGAGAGGAAAAAAAAAAAGTATGGAGGCCTTATTTTCAACATTGTGAAATATAAGGCACATTACCACACTAAAATTTCAGAACAAAAACAAGAGGGCATAGATGCAATTCATTGGGAAATTTTCATGCACGCTTAATATGTTACTACATATGTTTATATAAAATCCATCTCTGTGTGCTTTCTGGACTGTGGTTAAGTGACGTTTTATAGCCTGTTGTATAGAAAATGCAAAATATATCTCTGCTCTTCAGCCATTTTTGGTAAATTAAATGTTATAAGTGTTGCTAATTATAGGGAGTTTTATGACATTGGAGCAACAATTATTTCAGGGTTGTTTTTGATTTTTTTGGCCACCATTATAAATTGCCACAATTACTTACTTTTTAAAATAAAGTTACAATGTAGTGTTTATTCTAAGAAAGATATGTATGAATGTATATAAAAAGATTCAGCTACATTTTTTCTTACATGTACAGCCTTCATTCTGTTGCAGTTAAGTTTTAGTATTTGTATGAAAGGTGTGAATCAGAAGGTAAAAGCTATACATATGTATCTTCTAATCTTTTTTCTTCCCAAAATACATTTCCACATACATTCACTATTCACAATCAAAGATGTACACACACATACACACACACGAATTCAGAGTAATCGATCAGATATAATGAAAGACCCAAACATACAGATACTAACAAATGTTTACTGACAAAATGAAAAGCAGGAAGGAAGATAGTTGTGCCAAGGTATTGATGACAAGTGGGGTGATTTGCTTCATTGAGATCATGGTCCCAAGAAACCCCAAGAAGATATTTCCCTAGTGAAATGGAACCTTTTCTTATCAAATAGAATACCAATGGTATCTTGATGCATGGATATAAACCATTAGGTGGGGAGGTTATGGAAGCAAAGTTGGTTGATATACACCTTAATCTGATTGCTGCAATTGAAAAACTTTATATTTTTTTTCTCTGAACCTAATGTGCATGATAAAGATTTTGGAAAGTAAACACTTTCTCAACTAAAAGTATTTTCAGGAAGTTTTGATTCCCTATTTGTTGATTATTGACCGTATTTTAACTTTTGTGGTTTTACATATATATCATTAAATAGTTTTAACTTAACACATTAAATGGTAGGAAAAGTATAGGTTATACACTTGTTTTGCATATTGCTTCAATGATGTTCATAGCAATAAATTACCAATATGAGAAGGTAATGCAAAAGAAGTGCATTATTAGATTGGAAGGTGATGCCGCAGTATAAATTGATTGCATTACTTTAACATCTCCAAAAATGATATTAGATTTCAAGGAAGAGAAGAAAACCATTACAATTAGCTTTAATCAGCAAAGGCAAAAAATGCAAAACATCTTTTATAACATGTTAGTTGATGAATATAAAAAGCCAAGAAGTGGCCTGGATTTCAGACATACAGCATCTTAGAAACATAGCAAATCACCAATATCTATGGTTGCCAAGTAATTGTTGTAAATGAAAAGTTATAAAGGCTTTTCATGACCCAGAAAGTAGAGGTATAAAACTAAAATTTAATATCCATTACTTGTGTTTCAGATTTTTTTTTTCATTTGCTAGGTTAAAAATGTTCATGTTTTGTGTTTTTCCCCCCTCTCATTCAGTCTTACTCAGGGAAAGCCAGTCAAATAAGAGGGTAAAAATAAAACCACTAATTTACATTTGAGGTTATAAAAAGAAATGGTTGCTTTTCAATTTGATCTATGGAACTTGACCTAGTTTCCACCTGGAAAGATTGAACTATGATAGAAAATCAATAATGGTATTTTTAAGCAGTATATCTATGAAGTAGCTTTGTTGTGGAATGATTCCAATGTTTCTTTCCAACATAAATTTTAAAATTTCATGCAGTGATGTAATCTTATATTGTCAGTGAAAATATTACTAATGCTATTGGCCTACACAAAATCTAGCATTTTTTTCCTTCCTTATTTTAAAGTGGAGAAAGAGGGGAACATGAGCTAGGGAGAGAACAGACGAGTAAAATCTTCACACCAAAAGTATCCGGGTTCCATACACAGTTTGCAAATAATAGAGGATTTCACACTACCTGGCATAAATTTGATTACATCTCTAGACTAACTTTTCTGATTGAATCTGCTTCTTTTTTATCCATGTAATGTGTTGCCTTTTTTTAAAAAAAACAACAACAAATATTACAATAATGTGTGATGTGGTCAAAGGCCACATGACCCACCCCTTCTAGTGCTCTGTGTGACTGGGTATCTAAAGGTTTTGTTTGTTTTGTTTTTTTGTTGCAAGGCCAATTTATCCATTATTGGAAATGCTAAGCAAGTGGAATTTACTGTTTTGTTAATAAAATATTTCTTAATACAACTGTGGATTTATTGATTTTTTTTTTTAAAAAGTATATGCGGCATGATTTGGGGACAAAATGACACAGAAAACTGCATTTGAAAAGAAAACCAATCCTGTGACAAGCAGAGGAAGAATACTGACCTGCTTTTCCTGGATTTTAATGTTCATCAAACACCTCTACAATCACAAACTTGGAGATACAGCCATGGAGCGTGTACCTTTGTTTACATCTGTTAATCTCGCTATGCGTGAAACCACCAACTCCTAGAACTAGTTGAAAACAATGAAAAGGTGCTGATTTCATGAATAGGGTTCTCTCTATAAAGAGCAACGTAATTCAAGTTAAGTAAATCTATAATTAAATTCCAACACTCTCACTTACTAGCTACAAGTTACCTGATTTCTCTGTCTCTCTTTTCTCATTAGTAAAGAAACGGCAATAACACCAACCTCTTAGGGTATAAGGATAAAAAAACTTAATGTGTCTAGCACGATGAACTGCAAAGACAAGGTGGTTACTTGCATCCTATTATTTTTCAAAATAATACATTTGGGAAAACAAGTCAAAAATGTAAAAGCACAAAATGCAAGTGTGTAAAGAAATATAGTTGTTCATATATATATTTATATGTATGTATACACGTATATATACTAGGGGCCCGATGCACAAAATTCATGCAAGAGTAGGCCAGCACCAGCTTCCCTCTGGCACCCAGGACCTGGGCTTCCCTCACATCCCTGGCTTCATCCGGTCTAATTAGCATATTGTGCTTTTATCATTATAGATATCCCACATTAAAAATATACACATATATATTTTTTGGTATGCTTTAGTCCATTAGTTGGCAAATGTTTTAAAATGCTGGCCTTTGAAAATAATCCTCTGACAGAAAAGCATGAGTGGTCTTTCCCTTCTCCCATAGTAAAAAAATTTGAACATGAGTGCTTAACCCATATTTTACCATTTTATTTTAGACAAAATTATTTATGTCAATATTAACTCATGACTTTTACATGTAATGGGGGAACAATTCACACTCTCTTAATGTCTAAATTAAAGGCTATATACTTTAACTTACCTTAAAAATGTACAATATTTCAAAGATGATGACTTTATGTAATATATATTAGTAAACAGATGAAGGATTCTTGAACTGTGAAGCATACATCCCTAATGCCCAGTGATTAGGCATCAGGGGTTACTAACCTCTAACAATAATTATAAAATTTGGCAGATATATGTGGAAGAGTATTTCTTTGGAAAGAGAGTGAACTTTTTGCTTCTGTAAATTATTCAAGCCTATAATAATCTGTACAGAAATCAAGCAAAAAATATCTGACCCAAAGTTTTCAGTGATTTGTTTTTTTGCTAGGTCACCTAAATTGTGTAAAAGTAAATAGTGTTGTATGTAATACTTCAGTTTCAAAAACAGCAGAACTGGTGTTTCCTGAACATTTCATTTTTGTTTTAATTGTGGTGGTGGGTGCAAAGGCTTACTTTGAATTTAGACAGATTCCAGCGATGTGAAAGCATTTCTTTTTTCATGTGAGACACCAAGCATATTAGAACATACCTAGTCTACCAAATAAATTATTTACATGGACATTAATATATGTCATCTTAACTTCCAACTGGCAATTGAGAAATGTCTGAGAAATCTGAGAGCTGAGCTTAGAGGTTGGGACCAGAGAGCAACCTCATAGAATGATCCTAAAGAAGTTCACCAGTTGTAAGCACTGGTGTGAAGAATACCATGGGGGGATGGGGGGAGTGTTAAATTCTTCTTTTCTGACTTGATTTATATATTTAAAATTTTTTAAATTATGTATTTCTTTAATTGATATTTAGAGAGGAAGGGAAAGGGATAGAGAGATAGAAATGTCAATGGAAGAGAAACATTGATTGCCTGCCTCCTCATGGCCCCTACCAGGAGTGGGCCACAATCCATGCATGTGCCCGACCGAGAATGCAACTGTGACCTCCTGGTTCATGGGCCAATGCTCAACCACTGAACACACTGGCCAGGCAAAAACTTAATGTTACTAAAATAACATTTTGTCATGAAGTATAAAATACAGAAGAGGAAACCATCTAAGGACAGAATGTATTGTACTTAGAGGAATTAAATAGGTGGTCTTATAATTATATAATTTTACATGACAATTTAACCACTGAGGATACTCAAATTAAAATTTACTAAATACTGATCTCTTTGAACCTAGTGGACCATATAGGAAACATGAGATACACACTCTACAAGCGTCCCAAAGTAAGTACCAGAAAATAAAACAAAATAATTATGAGTTAAAGGGTTCTATTAGGTTGGTATTCTCACTTTCAGCTTGGTCCTGTGGAATACCCTAAAAAGCTTATCAACTTATTGTTCACAAAAATGATATATCTAAATCAAATGAATAAATTTGACTTCAACAAAGCATGAGGAGTCGTTGGGGGGCGGGAGGTAGGGGGGTAAGAGATCAACCAAAGGACGTGTATGCATGCATGTAAGCATAACCAATGGACATAAGACACTGGGGAATAGGGGAGGCTAGGGGACTGTCTAGGGCGGGGGGAAAAATGGACACATATGTAATACCCTTTGTAATAAAAAATAAAATTTAAAAAAAATTAAGTAGGAAAGGTTCGCATTTTTTAAGGCAAAATTCTTAAAACTATTATATTTTACTTGCTATTATAGTGTAAAAGGTTCCATATTCTGGATCTTTCAATATGTCTGACTTTAAAAGAACCTAGTATATGAAAATCTAGATAATTATTAGTTTCACAAAATGACTTCCCATAAGATGCCTTTAAATCGCATATAGTGCTAATACATTTAAAATTGTATTACCTCTGCAAAACTTAATTCATAAAAAGATGAAATATATGGCCTTTAAAAAAGAAGTATAGCTATTTTCTCAATGATACTTTACATTTTTAGAACTCATTACAGCCTAATGAATTTGAAACCAATTATTTAATTTTGATATATTTGATACTTATAAAAGCCCCTTAAAGTTGTCAGGTAAATTATTGCCACCATTTCATAGTAATGGAATTAGGGCTGGGAGAGGTTGATTTGCCAAAAGTCAGTCAGCTACTAAAAGGCAGAGCCAGTCCCATAGCCCAAGTCTTCTACATTTAGAATTATATGGCTTTTAATTCTGTCATAATAACTCAAAAAAATTTAGGAGTCATTTTAGTGATTTTTTTTTGTCAAGTAATTCACAATAGTTCCAAATCCTTTGTAAATTTTTCTTCTCATCTTGGAATTTTTGTTTGATTCTATATGAGACCTACTATGAAATATTTTATTCGATTCCTTAAATGGCTTAGAACTACTTGTGCTAGATTAGATATATAAATCTTTTGTCATTTTACATAATATACTGTTTATTGTATTTTATTTCAAAACCCTCCCTGCATTTTTCAGCAATCTTCATTTACTTCAAGATGTTGCTTAGTTAGCTCGAAACTGCTAGAACCTAAAATGCCAGTCTAGTAAAATAGCCAAATTTTTGTTAAAAATAAAAATAATTCATGAAACTAACCTTCAGTGAAACCAACACATATATGTATATATTTTTCTCTTTATATTGTTGCAACTCACCTTGTTTATATTGCTTCCAGGTGTTTATGTTTTCCTCGGTACCTCAATGCCTATGCATTTTGATAGTGATTATGGTCTATGATCGTTGAACACTCAGAGGTATGCTTAACATCCTTTAAGTCCCTCTCAGGAATATAAGATTCTAGAAATAGACTTTCAGTATCCCTGCTTTTATTCAAAATGGCTCAGATGTTTCTACATATGATATCAATTACTCTCCAAATTTTGTGTAATGAATGTGATACAGATGGAGAAGATCTTTTACTGTAAGGAAGAGAAGACAAGATTTTGAGCAATAAGGCATGTTAGGGAAACTTATTTATTTGGCTCACCTTCTTCTGACTAGGTATAAATGTATAACTTTGCATTAGGATACTCTTTATAATAAAAAATCAAAATATTTTCCCACAATGTCTGTCACATAATCTAATGACATGAACATGTGCCTAATTATAGAAACCACCAATTTGAAACCATGACATTATTGGAGATTTACGGTGATTCTGGGCTTATGATTTTGGTGCTTTTCATCATTGAGAAGTGCTGTTTCCAGGCTGTCAGAGAATTAGAGTTTCTGTATTCTACATGATAATTAGCACATCCAATTATTATATTAATCACTTGGTTTTCATTTGTGACAGGACTGACAGGATGAAGAGCCTTGAGTTATCAGCTAGTAGATTGCAGATTAAATCTTACTTGTATCACCCATAGTGGAGTCAAATTTATGTGAGTTCATTTCAATACCTCTTAAATTCCCAAGCTTCTTGAGCCTCACTAGAACTACCTCTTTTTTACTACTCTACCCACAATAGTCCAATATTCCAAATCATTGTGTTAAGGTGCCTGTGAAAAATATGACTAAGTCTAGAATGTGAGATGCTGTTCACGTGTTTATTTCATAAAGTGGGCATGGTCCAGGAGGCGGGTCCAAGGCGGCAGCATAGGTGGACACTGAGGTCCCTCCCCCGCAACAACACATCCAATGTATATCTATATTTAGAGAAATCTCTGCCTGAGAGACAACTGTGAGCCAATTGAACAGCTCTGCACAACCAGCAAGAGAGACTGCATAGAGATGATCGGGAGCTGCAAGAACTCTTCAGGAGCTGAGGAAACAAGTCAGGAATAGGGAAGCCAGTGAGCACCACCGCTTCTCTTTCCCATACACATAGGTAGTGGGCAGGAACTCCATCTAGTTTCTCTGGCTGACCGCAGGTACCCCTCCTAGAGCTACACCAGCATAAAGAAGAGGGCCCCTCCGCTTGGAGGTTTTTACAGCAGGTACAGCAGAGTGTTGCTTCAGGCACCCACTGGGCTCCGCCACCTGAAGAGTGTGGAGCTTGCAAAATGCTGTGGCATTTGCCTATAGGACAGCCCTGTCCAGATAAAGTGCAGAGATCTTGG